CTGGTTAAGAGAGTTAACTAATCGCGCAGCCGGAATTTATAGCGTGCATGCATGCGCGAAGAACACGGAATTACAAGGACTTAGAAGAAGGGAAGGGGAAGGGTTTGCCTACTTCTGCATGGTCTGATCGCGGCGTGGGGGACGTAGCCGCTCTGATCCGATCATGCAGACCGCGGCTACCAAAAACGCAGCAAAAGAAAGAGAAGAAGGGCGGGAAAGACGAAGCGCAAGAAGAAAGATACAGCTACAATGGCGCCCGCCCAAAATTACAGTTACACACACGATTAAAGGCGCCTACTAATCAGAGTTCTGTTATAGCCGCATGAAGAAGCGCGTAGACAAAAAGCGTTGCGCGGCAAGGAAAATCCTAATTACGAAATTCCTAAATTCCTATCTAATGCGAAGAAGCAAAAAACACAAATGCCAAAAGCAAAAGTCCAAAATTCCGAGAGCCATCGGGGCTTGACAAAATTCGAAAAAGATTTAAAAGGAAAATTCAAAAAGAACGAAGCAAATTCCCGCGCGATGTTCGCGCCCAAAAGTTTGGAACCGAAACAAAAGAAACGACATCAACATTTATTAATCGCGCGCGGCAGCGCGCCAGCCATCCGGCCAACCAATCAATCAACCGGCCGTTTCAGGACACACCCAGCTCCGAACCCAGCCATTCGAAAAGAAGCGACGAAAAAGACGAAAAAGCAAGGACACTGATGCAATTTCCCACCGATCCCGACCTCCCGTAATTTGCCTAACCTTCCCAACTTAGGACCCCTCATTGCAACTGCGCAGAAAGTCGCGCGTTACAGAAAGTGGTTCGTCACATATGTGACGCCCAGGGGGTTCCAATATTAGCAAGCTCCTGCTTGCTTGTTGACACGTGTCGATTTCTCTATTCGACCGACAAGCGGGGCTCTTCTTTTTATGCCACTTACCGTTCAATTGAGTGTGGACGTCTTCCAACGTGGCATGCAAGCTCTACTACTATTTCCTCAGGAAGGGCTATTGACAATCCAAGGAGGGGGGGGGGGGTTCACACCCGCCGTAGACTGACACATGGCAGCCAACCATGCATCCGTGTAAAAAAAAGGAGGGTAGACCCTAGACGTTCCCGGGGAGCAGTCGAATCATCGAGGGTGGAGGTAGCGGATGGTTCAGGGTTAGAAGGGGCATGAATCGATTGATGGCGGGAGAGGCGAAATCAGGAAGGGTAGCGTACTGGAAGGAGCGATGGATGCGGGGGAAGCGAGGGACCTCATGAAGATGGCGAAAAGCGGCGATGTAATCGGGGTAGATGGTAGAAAGGGTCCGTCGCAGGGCGGCGTGAAAATCGTCGTAGTTTTCGCAGGCGGGAATAGTTCCAGATATAATACAGTATATTTCTATGTGGTTATATTCCCGCCAGTCTGCGCTAAACAGGAGCACATGAAGGAGGAAGGAATCAACCACAGAGCGGGTGGTGGCATGCGGATAAACGGAGACTAGAAGGCGGGTAGCGTAGAAATGGTAGAAAAGGTGATGGGGGAAAGGACACCAACCATCGGGGAACGGGGGTCTATCGGGAAGACGGGTAAGCATGAGGTAGTCACGGGGTCGGCGAGAGAACGACCGGGGACGAAGCCCGAACGCCGAGATCTTGATTTAGACGAATGGAGGATCGGGACGGGGAGCCAGAGGAAGTTGGCGATTCACTTCTTCTTCTTCGTCTCCGTGATCCCTCTGCTGCGGTTCCATCGTCTTCTTCTTTTGGCGGCTCCGGGTCACTCCACGGATCCCCGATCGATGGATCGACAGGAGAGACGTTTGTCGTGGGTCGCTTTCCCTCCGCGCTCTCCTGGCGCTTCCGCTTCCTCTGCTCTTCCTCCTCTTCGTTCTTTTTACCCGGCTGGCCCGAAGCTCAATCACGCGAAATCGCCCGAAGAATCGTGGCGCTAGCTTACCCTGGCGAGCACATTTCCTCACCTGCACGATGTCTCCCCATTTGTACTGGGGTCGTGGACCTGCGTTCCCGTTCCGGGCCTCGTAACTTCGGACATGTCGGCCATGGGCCAATTCGATCATTTTCTGGCGTTTTCGGGCTAGCCTGGGGAGAGATCATTCCATTAATTTAACTCTAGGTGTCGCTTGGCCTTGTCCCGAGCCGTGGCCATGGTGGGCCGTCGGTTCAGCGTGGATTCATCAGGGAGGCTTGGTATTGATACGCAAGCGACGCTATTGGTCCTTAATTGGAAGGGGCTTAGCCCCATCGATTCGTGAGGCGTTCTGCGATGGACCGCCAGGATGTGGTCGACGATATCCGGCCAGGGCCTTGAATCCCGCGCCGCGATGTTTTGTCGCAGCGCCGTCTTTATCACCCTATTCGTGTTTTCTACCAGTCCATTGGATTGTGACATGTGGGGTGCAGTATTCCGAATGGCGATGCCGTGTATGACCAGATTCCTCAGCACCTCTCCTCTGAATTCAGCCCCGTTATCGGTCAGGATCTCCTCCGTATCCTGGTGCATCCGGAGAAAACGGTTGACGTACCGTGCGATTTCGGCGGCTTGTCGCGTGCGACAAGGGTAGGCCTCGATCCATTTCGAAAAGTGATCGACAAATACCAACAGGACTGAATACTCACAGCTATTAGGACCAGGGGGCACCACTATACCGGTAGTATCCATGCTGACTCTTTGAAATGGCCATTCAACTACCGTTGGCGACGATGTACTTCACATCGTCGCGGATATTGGACCAGTACCACTATTTTTTGTCGATAGACGACTCCATGATCCGTACGGCGAAATGAGCCGCAGTTTCTTCATGTGTCGTCTTAACCCAATCGTACCTCATGAACGGATGCGGTACAACCATCCAAATCCCACTGCCATTAGTTTTCCTTTTTTCTAATCTACCCTCTATCCATCTGTAATCCCGAGCCCTCTCGTTAGCCCTCCTCCGATCTGCCTTGGTGAAATCCTGGAGGGGGTTGCCAACTAGGGTGGCAACCAAGGCAATATCAGTCCATACCTCGGCCCTTCTAAACCTTCGGGTCTTTTCCAACCCTTCTGACGTGGCATCCAAAAAGCGAGCCTCGGTCAGAATCTTGTCAGTCCGACACAAGGGGCACAACCACGGTTTACTGTCGTTTCTGTATTGGATGCACGAGCCACGGGCTCGTGCGACACACTGTCGACAATCTATCCATTCCGCATACCCTTCCCCGTTAGGACGCATGGAGATCGAGTACACGCGGGAGATAGCTTCGCAAAAATAGCAAAATTTGTCAGGCAGTAAGAGGAGGGACAGAGAGGAGAGGGGAAAAAGAGGGGTAGTGGGGTTACCTCCATCACCCATTGCCGCCGTTCTGCTTCTTGCCACGTGGGAGAACTGCCACTTGTCCGTACTTAGGCTCGTTTGTCAAGTCCGGCTCCTTCCACAGTGTAATTTCCTCGCCCTTTGGTACTTTAGCAGGCCGATGCAGACGTGTCAGTCCGTCCGCGTTGACGTGTCGCTCTGTCTTTCGATGAACGATATCGAAGTCGTATTCTTGTAGTCGCACCGCCCAACAGCCAATCATGCCTGTGTAATTAGTGAGCTTCTTCAACGCCAACAAAGGTTCGTGATCTGTTACGAGGCAAAACTTTTGTCCGTAGAGATACGGATGGAAGTGCTGGATTCCCCAGACTACTGCATAGCATTCGCCTTGAGGCGCCGAGTCATTCCTCCGCTCCTCTGGTACCGTGCGCGACGCGTACTCGATGACGTGTTCTTGAGGGTTGCGAAAGCCTGTTGGCGCTTCCGGTTGCCAGTCCGTGATGAGAATGAACTGCTTAGAGGGGTCCGGTCGGATCAAAATAGGAGACGTCGCCAGAGCGTCCTTGAGGGTTGCGAAAGCCTGTTGGCGCTCCGCGTCCCAGCTGAGAGGCTGGTCCTTCCGTAGCAGGTTCATTAGTGGTCGTGCAATCGCGGCGAAACCCTTGATGAAGTGACAATAGTACGATGCCAACCCCAAGAAGGCTCGAACCTGCGTCAGCGACGTGGGAACTGGGGCTTCTCTTATCGCCGCGACCTTTCTTGAGTCCGGCCGCAGTCCTCCACGTGTCACGACGTAGCCCAAGAACGAAAATTCCAAGAGGAAAAACTCGCTTTTCTCGAGCGTGATCTTGAACCCAGCGTCTCTCAGTGCTCCCAATGTCCACTCGATGTGTTGCGAGTGTCCGTGATAGGTCTCTGAGTAGATAAGGATATCATCCATGTACACGATCACGCAGAAGTTGATCATTCCCTGAGTTAGCCGCGTCTTGTTGACGAAGTTCTGGAATGTCATGTTCATCGCTCGTTGAAACGTGGCAGGCGCGTTGCAAATCCCCATCGGACATCGAACCCACTGCCACGTGCCCTCAAACAGTACAAAGGCCGTCTTGGGCCGATCTTCCTCCTTCACAAGAATGTGATGGAAGCCATGCCGAATATCAAACTTGCTGAAATAATTCGCGCAACCAATCGCATCCAACAAATCATCAATCCGGGGGAGAGGATACACATCTTTAATCGTGATTTCATTCAACTTGTGATAATCGATGCATATGCGAATTGATCCGTTTTTCTTTGGCACTAGCACTACGGGAAATGACCATGGTCCGGTGGCAGGTTCAATCCACCCGATGGCTTCGAATTCCCGAATTCATTCGAGAGCCTTTTTGCGTTTTATCAGGGAGTATCGGTACGACTTGCAGTGGATCGGGGAATGATTCCCCATCTGTATTTCGTGTTGAATAACTAAAGACAGACCAATGTCAGTGTCTGTCACGCTAATCGCTCCTCGATATTCCATCAGAATGTCCGCAATCAATCGATGAATCTCATCGGGTACGTACTGTGGCACGTGTAACTCAAAAGGTTGGTCCCAGATCCATACGTCTATCTGTTTCGTGCGTGCGGGTTTCGCCACATCGGGTCGGGGTGCAGAAATGAAGGAATGATCCGATCGCCAGTAGAACACCGTGGCCATCATCTGGGCGTCTTCTTCCCGACTGGCCACGTGTCCTTCTAGGGTGATTCCGTCACAGACATCCTGCCATGGTATGGTTTTAGTTACGATTTTTACTCCAAGTTCGTCTTAGTCAGCTTCGAGGCGCGCAGGGGGTTCCAAAGAACTGGCTTCTGCCCCCAAGCGCAACAGTCGCACTTCTTTTGCAGGTGTCGAGAGGGACCTTGGTAGATCCATAATGTCGCAGTAATGTTTTTTGTCGCTGTATCTGGCGAGAAGCGGGGTGATTCCTTCGTACAGGGTTTGAGGGGGTTCCAGAGAATCGACCATCCTCGAAATCTGTACGAGGGGTTCACCTAAAATCATTGCCTTAGCCCTTTGAATGTTTCGACTGGTTAGATGCATCGTTCTTGCGATCGTTCTGGGTGGCGGATAAAAAACGCGCTGTCGCACTAGCTTCAGGATCTCTGGGTCACTTTCGTCACTGTTGTCCGCCTCATTCGTTGATGACTCCCCATCCGCGGATTCTTCCCAGGAGATCATTCGGAGAGTCTCTGCCATCATCGGCGAGACCCGTGGGACTGCGTTGATGGTGGTACGAAGGGTTAGTCTTATAGGCACAGCATACGACTTTCCTCCTGTATTTCGGAGGATGATTGACCTTCGCTCGAAATCCAGGTTCGCTCGTAATGCCACAAGAGCGGGAAGTCCAAAAAGGACGTCGTAGGTATTTACATCTAGCACGACGACATCCGCCAGTGCGTGCACCTTTCCTAATCGGAAAGCGACGTTGGTCATCTTTCCCACTGTTTTAATATTTTCTTCGTCGGCCGAAACGAGCTGATCTTTCTCGGAAAGCATGATCAAATCATTTTTCCTACCTGCCCTCTCAACCACTCTCAGTGAGATAGTCAAAACCGCCGCTCCCGAATCGATGATTGCATTGTACGGAATTCCCCAAATTTCGATATCGCATTCTGCGGATTTCCACGGGATGGGTTTTATCCATAGGAAATGATCGACTTAATGGATTAACCCCACCTGAATCGGATCCGAAGTTCTTGCCGTTTTTTCCTGTGGTGTAAGTCCCTTCTTCACGTTCGTGCTCGGGTCAAGACGAATTGTTTCCGGTTCGCCTTACACTGTTGTAGCATTCGCTCATTGGCTTGTTCCGAGATCGAGAGCAAGTGGCCGATCGAAAGTGGAATCCGATGGTCCAAGGCTCGAACGATGTTAAGCACATCGATTTCCCCAGTGACGAAGGTGGGTCCTCCCGACTCCATCTCACCTGGAGAAGGTCGCCACTCCACCACTTCCTTCTGTTCTGAGGCCGGTCGGATTGTTCCGATCATTCCAAGCCCGGGATACCCCAGCGATACATACTGATCTAACGGAATGAGTTCAGCGGCTTCTTCTGTGGTAGCTAACGCACTTTCCCCACCCTCTACTTCTTCCATCAAAGCTCCTACTCGTCCTGGTCCGTTAGCGATGGGGGCCGCCGCCATCGGCGCGACCCCGACTCGTTGTTGCGGAGGCCAGTGGGGGCAATCACGGGCAGATGCCCTGGTTGATGACATGCATAACAGGCGTTTAGATTGTTTGCGGCTCCTCCGAGAACCGGCGCAGGGGCCAGCCCTTGTTGAATCGGAGGGGCACGCACTGCAATGGGCCTCATGTTTCTCATCATAGCTTCTATTCGAGCATTATGCTCCCGCTGTTCCTTTTTGCTTTCCTGGATTAAGCTAATTAGCTTAATAGTGAGCTCAAAAATGGTTGCGGACTCACTCGATCTTACAGGGCTCTCGACCGGTGGCGGGGGTAACGCCCTTACAGGTGTTGGTATTACAGGAACAGGGACGCTCGGAATCTCACTTGTGGTTAGTTGTTTGGGACCTATCTGCTCCAGATAGGTGACGGGTCCTGACACAAATCCCATATTTTCAAACTTGTTTTGTAACGCGGCCAGCTCAGCTCTCGCCCTCGCAAGTTCGGACGAATCTTCTTCCCTGGAATAATCTTCTCCTTCCAGGAAGTTCACTGCGAACTTCCGTTCCATTTCTTCCACAGCAGCCATGATCTGTTGCAGTGTGTGAGTGATGGGGGGAAATTGTTTTCGCAATTTAACCCTTATCGTTCGGCTGCGAAGGCCATCTATAAACAAATCTCTCCCGACTTGTTCGCCTCGCTCAGTCTTTACAAACATTCGGTAGAACCGGTTTTGATACTTTGCGACAGACTCGAGGGTTTTTTGTACTCGGTCTTTGATCATGTAAAGTGCTTGTTCTGGGTGGACATACTCAAACCGATTCAGGAAATCCCGTTCGAAGGTCGGGAGATCAACCCATACATAGGTACTAAACCAGTGATGAGCGTCTCCTCCTAACCGAGCAGGAATGTTTATCTGTGTTTCGTTATCATCGTATTGTTGCGCTCTAAGCGTGGCCAACCATGCTCCTGCGAGATGATGGGCTGGATCGAATAAATAGAGATCAGGCGGCGTCATGGGAGCCCGTGCTCGTGGGACGGGTTGGTTAGGATTTAGTTGATTAGCATTTTGTTGTGGGTTCGGGTTCTGTACATTAGCAGCCATTTTGGCTGCTCGTCAATTAGCCGATCTGCTTCGGGTGATGATAGGGTCGCGTCTATGCGCGTTCCGGGGCCGAGGCCGCCCTCGGTTAGCCAGATCGCCTAATTAACGTGCTGTCAATCCTAAGACCCAGCCACGTATCGGGCTCCGATACCAACCTCACGCCCAGCGCGACTTCCTGATCGGAGTAGGATGTGGGCCTGGAAGTGCGAAAAGGGGTGTGCCATAGATTTTTTGGAAGGTGGAGTCCCAGGTCAGAACTGAGATCTCCTTGTGGCGGGGTCTTTCGGGGGCACGGGTGCAATTTGGCGATAGCGAACGCGCKTGGGTTGCTTAAGGCCGGGCGAGCCACTGGTTCCGGGGACGGCGATTCGCGGGGAAGTCCCTCCGGGGAGGGGGCGGTTCCGAGGAGTCAGGCCGTCRGAAGTTGCCACGTGGCRTTGGTCGTTGCGCGTTCGRGTGGGGCCTCTGGGAGTCCGGGGTCCTCTGATTGCCGCGTCGTCGACAGTTTTCGCAGGGTGTGCTAGGCCAACATGGAGCTATGGCCGGCCACGGGACGACGCTGAGTTGATGATACGGAAGAAGAAGGCGAAAGGGAGGGAAACTGGTGGTGATAACGACAAATCCGGGGTGGATGAAATAGTAGGTATGATCCGGAGAAGGGAAATCAGAGCACCGGGGGTCGCTAGTGGTGGCGCAGTGAAATTCACGAGGACACAGTCGGTTCTCGGTTAGGCAGGGGTATCTCTGTCGGAGGAGGTTTACCCAAGGGGTGAAGTAATCCGGGTCGTATGATGAGTCGGAGTTCCAGGATCGTGTCATTGTGTCATTGCGGTGTTACGAGTTGCCTAGGGGCGGGCCCGTGGCGATTGCGATTGCCACGTGCGAGCCCGCGCAGGCCTTACGAATTAAGCCTGGCTTACGAGTGTTCGTACGGGGCGACTGCGCCGTTGCGGACCTCGGGTTGGCCCTGCTCAGTCAGACAATGCGTCGGTGATCAATGGTTCCGTTGGAATTGACGAGTCGTCGTCCGGGGATACGTGTAAGTGTGCAACTCAGATCGCGTTTTACACGTTTCCTCGCGCGGCGTTCGCCGGACTCGGCATCCTATCGTCTAATTATTCCGGGCTGTTTGGAGCATGCAAGATGCAACGATCACAATCATCTCAATCAAAAGACATGCGAAGACAAAGACAGGATTATCGATTGAGCAAAATTCCTATTCTACTTACGAGTGCGTCAATTGCGACAACCAAAAGCAAAGACAAGGATCTGGCAGAAAGATAAGTAATCAACCATGGCATCAATCCATCCATACGTTCAACAATCATACACACAGTGCCTCGGAGGTAGGAAAAATCGCAAGGACAAGTGTGAGCAAAACCCCAAGTCCAAATTTTGAAAAACAGAAATCGGGCAGTTCGCCGAGAGCCGAAATCAAAATTTTTATACACGAGACAGGAGGGAGAAAAGATAAAGAAATAGCAACTCCACGTTCATCAACCTCAACTCTCTCTCTCTCTCTCTCTTCTTCTCCGATGTGGACAGTCCGTCGTCGCGCACCAACCCACGAAGCCGTCACCCCGCTTAGTCATTCCGCACCCATCAGGTTCGCCCACGCCCACAGTCCGTCGTGGCCCGCGTCAACCCCGCGCGTAGGCACCAACTCGTCGGGTCGCCCGACTCCTGCTCTACTCACCTCTTATTTCGCTCGTGTGCCGCCCCTTCCTGATCGCGCAACCCCGAGCTTCCAACAGCTGGTTAAGAGAGTTAACTAATCGCGCAGCCGGAATTTATAGCGTGCATGCATGCGCGAAGAACACGGAATTACAAGGACTTAGAAGAAGGGAAGAGGGAGGGTTTGCCTACTTCTGCATGGTCTGATCACGGCGTGGGGGACGTAGCCGCTCTCCACGCATCGATCAGATCATGCAGACCGCGACTACCAAAAATGCAGCAAAAGAAAGAGAAGAAGGGCAGGAACGACGAAGCGCAATAAGAAAGATACAGTTACAATGGCGCCCGCCCAAAATTACAGTTACACACACGATTAAAGGCGCCTACTAATCAGAGTTCCGTTGCAGCTGCATGAAGAAGCGCGTAGACAAAAAGCGTTGCGCGGCAAGGAAAATCCTAATTACGAAATTTCTAAATTCCTATCTAATGCGAAGAAGCAAAAAGCACAAATGCCAAAAGCAAAAGTCCGTAATTCCGAGAGTCATCGGGGCTCGACAAAATTCGAAAAAGATTTAAAAGGAAAATTCAAAAAGAACGAAGAACCGAAACAAAAGAAACGACGTCAACATTTATTAATCGCGTGCACGGAGGCGCGCCAAATCAATCAACCGGCCGTCCCAAGACACACCCAGCTCCGAGCCCAGCCATTCGAAAAGAAGCGACGAAAAACATGAAAAAGCAAGGACACTGATGCAATTTTCCACTGATCCCGACCTCCCGTAATTTGCCCAACCTTCCCAACTTAGGACCCCTCATTGCAACTGCGCAGAAAGTGACACGTTACAGAAAATGGTTCGTCACAGCGGTCTTCACTTGGATTTTGATATGCAAATCTAACTTTTTATTGTCGCTGAGGTCTACCTCTGCGTCCAATCTGAATTGTATTTTCAGCGACAATTTTATCAACATCAAATTTCTCATCCATACTCGGAGGAATTGTTGATCTACGACTGGGGAACAATTCGTTAGTCATGCAAGGTAAGAGCTTTGGTGTGTGGAACACTGGGTAGGTATGCAAATGTGGAGGTATCTCAATAGCGTCAGAGGGTCCATCCACATCTCCTATCACATCCAATACTTGCCAAGGTCCTCTGTAGGCAAGTAACAACTTCTCGGAAATGTTATCTTCGGGAATAAATTCTTTGGACTTTACCCATACCTGATCACCTACAGCAAACTGAGAAGGTCTTATGTGCTTATTAGTTTGTTCAATCATCTGATTTTGTGCTTTTATTATGTTCTCCTTTACCTTCTCTAAATCTTTCTAATACCGCATTGCGAATTCTTTAGTCCCTAGCGGAAGTTTATGTACTCGATCCGGGTTTAGACAATCGATAGGTCTAAGGGGACACCATCCCAAATGAAACTCCATCGGAGTTCTGTAGGTAGTTAAGTGTACAGAGTTGTTGTAGGCACTAGCAACTTTGGGTAAATGTTCATCCCAGTCAATCTGATCGGGACGAATGTACATACGCAGCGTCTGCTGCAAGAGCTTGTTGATTTGCTCAGTCTGCCCATTTGTCTCAGGGTGTCGGCCTGATGACATCGTCAGTTTGGAGCCATAGACACTCATTAGTTGTTGCCATTGTTCACTGGTGAACCGAGAGTCTCTGTCACTAACAATAGTCAAGGGATGACCATAGTCCTTTACCACATGGTTAAAGAGTTCTCGAATTACTAGGTCAATTCTAGCTTCAGCAGGCAATGATATAAAAACAACAAACTTGCGGAACCTATCAACAAACCATAACTTGGCTTTTTTCATTCCTGCTTTTCACTTTAGTGTCCATTAAATCGATAGACACAGAGTCTCCAAGACCTATTAGGATAGATAAGGGTTTCAATAGACCAAGGGGAGGTTGTGTGGTGCTTTTGTTTCGATGACACACTTGACAACCTTGCACATATGAAATGCAATCAGGTTTCATTCGAGGCCAGGTGTAAGAACTCAAGAGATAAGCATAGGTCTTCTTCCACCCGAAATGACCTTCGGTATCATGGCATTCCCCTAAGATCATACTTT